GCTGTGGACACGTCTGGACGCGCCTGCTCATACTTCTGCCTACACAATTCTCACGCCGCCTTCAAACACCGCCTCGACCTCCATTTCATTCACCACCATCTATCGCAGCTGATCTACAACAAAAATGGCAAGCACTTCCCCACCAACGCGCCCAACCTGATCATGTCCGCTAACTTGCGACTGCCGCTGTAGGCCAACGTTATAGCGAACTCTGGCCACGATGACATGATTGTACGTTCTCTATACACATCCGCCTCTATCTTCACCCCACATTCGTACATTCAACACCACCAGCCAGCGCAATGGGCGACATCGACTCACCCCCGACCGATTCTAACGAGGTACAGCATGACGCCGTACTGGATTACTATGGCAGGCGGCTCGCGACGTGTTCTTCGGACAAGACCATCAAGATCTTCGAGGTTGAGGGCGAGAAGCACACATTGGTGGAGACCCTGAGAGGGTATGTGATTGCCAAAGAAGTCATGGTCGTATGGGACTCGACGCTGACATTCATAGACATGAGGGCGCCGTCTGGAGCGTAGCATGGGCACACCCAAAATACGGAAACATCCTCGCCTCCTCCTCGTATGACGGCAAGGTCCTCATCTGGCGCGAGCAGTCTGGCAGCTGGCAGAAGATATACGAGGTCGCCCTACACACACAGTCGGTCAACATGGTCGCATGGGCTCCTCACGAGGCAGGCTGCCTCCTTGCCTGCGCATCATCTGACGGCAACGTCTCGGTGCTCGAATTCAAGGACAACAACTGGACACATCAGACCTTCCCTGCTCACGGCAACGGCGTAAACAGTGTTTCTTGGGCACCTGCCTATGCGCCGGGACAGGTCATCAGCGCAAGCGGAAACCAGGCAGGCGCTGCGAAGAGGCTAGTCACCGGCGGAACCGACTGCCAGGTCAAGATTTGGGAGTTCAGCCCCGAGAGCGGCAGCTGGAATGCGACTCCGCTGTAAGTCATGATCGCGGATCGACGGTATGGGACATTTGCTAACATCATACACTAGTGGCGGTCATGCAGATTGGGTACGCGACGTCGCGTGGTCCCCTACCGTTCTCTCCAAATCGTACATCGCGTCCGCATCCCAGGACAAGACTGTCATTATCTGGACATCATCAGATCTACGCGAGTGGAAGCGCACCCAGCTTGACGTCGACGCTGCCGCGTGGCGCGTGAGCTGGAGTCTCAGCGGCAATGCGCTCGCAGTCAGCACCGGCGACAACAGGGTCAGTCTGTGGAAGGAGAGGCTCAGCGGCGGATGGGAATGCGTCAAGACGATTGAGGAGTAGAACATCTCTATAAAAGACAAAGCAGACCCTGGGACTTTCTTGCAATACCCCGTACGTCTCGGCCTCAAATTCAGGACCGACCAGTGGCCACCATATGAAGACGACGGGCCGTGGTGTACTGAATACGGGTGTTACCAATTCACCTACGAACAATATTGATGTAAGAGCATAGCACGAGGGCATAGTGACGCATGGGTGTAGCGTGAGCGTAGCCTTTAATCGATTGTAACAATCACAGCCTTGCCAACGCTTTACGTGAATTTCATCAAGCTTCTTCCAATGGCCTCACTCAATACGTAAAATGACTGCAAGACGGTCAGAAGCCTTGGTCACATCAAGCCACAAGAGTCTATTCGAGAGCTGGCGAATAACTACGACAGGAACACAGGGCCCTGCATGCGATTCGTCATGGCCGAGTGGTTAAGGCGCTATGCTCGAGAGATGCCGTTATCGACGCTTTTCTCAGAAGATGCCCGATACGGCATGTGCGAAGGGCGCTAGCTTCAGCCTCATCGCCCAGGTGGAGCTGACATCTAGACCTACATACCTACGCTGTTCCACTTCACAACTACATTGCGCATCCCGATATAGTTCGTCATCTTCCGTAAGGGACGACTTCCGCTGCGGCTGTCTCGTACTGAGCTTGTGTCTGTCTTCCAAGCTTCATCGCACCTGCACGTTGGTGCCTTGACGCTAGCCTTCTACAGGACAGCTGCCTAACTCCTCACAAACATCATCCAATCACGATCAACAAGTATCGTTCTACGCTCCTTGGGAAGAGATATAAATCATGGCGACAGCGGAAGTTTACCAGGAACCGGCTTCCTCTCCTCTTCCTACAACACCATCACGTCGTCAAATGTCTCCAGCTGCTGCGATGTCAAGCACACCGACAACACCAACGCCATCTAATCGTGCCAGCCAGACGACCTTCAATCCGGTGCAACTCGAAGCGCGAGCAATTCTCACGCACCTCCTGACACGCCTATCCCAGCCCCCAGTCTCCTCCCCAGACAACGGCAATCCTCACCCTTACCATAAGTACACACCCTGGATCTCGCACCACAGCATCCCCATCCTCACTTCGTCTATCTTCTCTCTTGTCCGTCCCCAACTATGGCATCTCCTCTCCTCTCGCCTCTCTCTCGACGCCCTAAAGCATCTCGGCGGGGATCTGCGTCATGAAGGCCGCGCCATCTACCTCAACGGCATCTTAGGTGTCGACAAAAGATTGAGGATTTATGTCGGCCAGAGTAGCAATCTGCGCGTGAGAGTGGCTCAGCACCTGAACTTCAGGTATAGGAGAGATCATCCGAGTCTACATTACTATGCGTTGGAGTGGAGTATCTATAACGTTTTTGGTGTACTAGCTGTGCTTCCTTCGGGCGGATATGGCAATGCAGTACCGGGTATGGATCATCCGGAACTCGTGATGAATGTGCTGGAGATGTGGATGTGTCTTATGTTCCGGACGTTACCCGAAGACACCCTGAAAGAGTGGCTACCAGACGATGTGCTCGTCGATAAGAAGAAGTTGACGGCGAAAGAGGGTGTTGTGGGTGGATTGAATGTAGCGAGTCCACTTGATCAGGGTGTGGAGATGAAAGAGAGGGATTTCGTGGATCTAAGTGAAGAGGACGACCCCATTATTCGGGATTATTTGAAGGACGTACGAAGAAAGAAGGGCGACGGCCTGGTTGGGGAACAAAGGAAGGAAATGAAGACGAAGGATGTAGAAGTGGATGAAGAAGAGCGCGCGCTGAGGAAGAAGATGTATGCAGAGAAAGCACGAAGGTACCAGCAGAGGGATAACGCTATTGTTATTCCGCAGTGGATTTTCCTGGGTGCTATAGCGGTAGGTATGGGAATTATGCTACTGAGGAGTAGTGGGGGACCGCAGGCTAGAGGAAGCTGGAGATGAGGTGATCAAGGCCTTCTTCCCTAGTTTCCTCGTCTGAGATGAAGGCAACGAAACCAACGTCGATCATATTAACGTTGGCGGAAAGCCACTACGAGAGCGCCCCGCAAATCACCGACACTGAATAGTCAAACCCTAAGGTACACGAACAAAGTCGATCGCGAGAAAGGTTTCCAGGTTCGAGCGCGGAAGCCAGCAGAAGCGACCCGTAAGGTTTCGTCCGAATAAGATGCGATCGCTGCGGTAAGCGATATATTTCACCAGAAAGCTGGTTACCACCCAACGCGTCGGAACAGGAAACATCCTGCAAAATTCGATTCCGCAGCGAGCCCTACGTCGATTCGCAGCATTTTCAACATCACAGCTTCTGCCGCGCCGCAGTGGCACACCTATGCTTCTGCAAAACGGCTCAAGACTACTTGTCTGTCTCTTCACCGACGCACGATCTGCTGACGACTATGATACTTTTAAGCTGTGAGGTGAGCCAAAGGCACGGACTTGTCTTTATTGCGCAACCAGAGCCCGACACCGGGCGGCCGTCCGCTTGGGTGTTGAACGATCACACTCGCTTAGGTACTGCGGATCTTTCAAACTATCAACCGCGTCATACCTCCCTTCGATCACCACGCGGTGCGTGCGAAGGTTCTGGTCTACAATTCAGATATTACTTTGCCAGATCTACATATGATCACCGCAAGGCGTGCGAAGAGAGGACGACCAAACCCAGGTATCCGGCATCGTAGGAGTATACTCCGCATCGTAGCGCCATAAGCGAACAGTACAGTACGGATGACACGCTTCCGAATGGACAGCAGATCTTGAGCAAGGTTCATGACAGGGGCGCCCTTGACGACAGAGAATATCCGAGGCCTACAGCTGTCGACCTGGACGCAGGTCTTTTCTTTCGAGCCTTGCATGGCGGGAACCCCGAGATCTAGAGCGCAACGTGAATTGGAAAACCTCGAGAACAACTAAAGAGAATTAAAGCGGGAGGGCTGCTGCAGGGAGTTTAGGCTTCGGTCCGTTTCTTAGTGTGGCTTTATCCCCAGACTGAAGGAAAGGATGCAGGCCGTGCCAGGCGAAGCGACGCCGCTAGTACTGATCCGTGCCAACAGAACTGGAAAAGTTCAAGATCAAAACGCAACATCGCAGACCTAGTCCCAAAGTTGTCAAGCTTCACTGTTCGTAGACGGAAAGGGTGTTCTAGATGTGCGTCTTACCCCAGGATTCGACCAAACTATGCCTACCCGGGGGCAACACATAGCCTCTAGTCTTGTCAAGCCGAGCATGCCCAGGCTTACTTGCTCTCGGGGGCCTGGAATCCGAGGTCGCCTGGAAGCTCTGCAGACATACTGCCAGATACAGCGAGGACATCGTGCTAGTCTAACTTGAAGACTTGTCGAGGCTGGCTGAACGACACATCATCGTCGTCCTCCAACTCAAGCCTTGCTGTTCCTGGCGACGATGCACCTTTGTGGCTTGGAGTTCTAACTCTACGAGGAAGAGGAGGAGAATTGTGGCTGTCGATTTCGTGAAGCGAGAGTTCAGCTCCTCAGTTTTTTTACTGCAACACACTGACAATATCGGTCTCACCGACTTCACCGTACCGAAGGTTTTGTGGGTTCTAGAGTGGCACACAAGAATGAGGAGAGGATGCTCTGGCCCTACAAGATGTATTTAAGACTCTGCTCGGACGCGTCTTATTACTTTCACCAGAGCACATTTCACAGCATCTTCCCCATCACTTGAGCTTCCAACCCATTCACACTCTCGCCATGCGCTTCAACACAGCAGCTGGACTCGCCTTGAGTCTTGCTATCCCCACTGGTGCCCTTTCTGTTCCCCGGGATGCAGCTCCGGAGCCCGCTGGCAAAATCGTTGCGAAGTTGTTCTGCGACGTGGTCGGTGGTCTTGTCACTGTTGCGAAGCAGCAACCCCAAGCCACCAGCTTTTGCTCTTCTTACCTTAAGATCCCCGTAGTCAAAAAGACTTCCACAGTAACCTCCTTCACTGCGTGAGTTAACACTAGGTTGATCTTCACCGTTACGACCACGGCGCTCACAACATACAGAACCATCACGGAAACGGCCACAATTACCTCGGGATCAACTACGACTACTGATGCGACCAATACGATTACAGCGACTGATACAGTGACCGCGACAGCTTCTGCAACAATCACTGAAACCACGACATCAACAGAAACGATCAACACAGTCTCATATTCTTCAATCACTGCATGCGCTTCTCCAGGTGCCGTACAAAAGCGAGGCGCCTATGTACCCCCCAAAAAGCCTTCATGCTTCAACAACTATGTCGAAGGTCAAATCCTTTCTTCGGCATGCAAATGTCTCTCTGTGCCTACCTCTAGCACAACTACAACAACGACCTTGAGTCTGCCCACCACCATCACAACTTCGGTCACTGTAAGTTTCGACCAGCCCTACGACTCATGGTACTATTTACTAACAAGTTTTTCCCTCAATAGGTACCCCTTACCATCTTCGAAACGGCAACGGCAACCGATATCGTGACCGCCACCGACACCATCACGAACACCGCAACCGAGACCTCTACAATCACCGAACAAACCACTGTTTTCACAGCCACATCCGCCGTCATCGCCATCCCCACATTTACCGTCTACGCCATCGGCGGCCCCAACAACGGAAACCCGATGTCCAATGCCAACGGCAACATAGTACGCAACACGAGAGGCACCTCGCCCCCTCCCGTCCTACAATTCACCACTGTGGACATCAATAAGCTGCAAGTGCTTAATGGGCCGTACGCTGGCTCGATCGGTAAAACCGACCCGAATGCTAGTGGGAGTGGGGCTGCACTCTACTTTGGCAGTACGAGGGCCGGGCTGGTGGATACGGCGTGTCAGGTTACGTACAAGAGCGATGGGACCTGTCCGTTGTCGTGCCAGGCTGCCAGAGGCTCGACGAGTTTTGACTGCGGAGCTATCTGGAGAATTGGCAGCGATGCTGATGTGGCCAACTGCAACAGGTTCGTTCCTTATGCTGTTGGTACCGCCTAGATGCTGGACATGGATCATAATTAGTACTTAGTGATTGAAGTGGCAGAAGAAAGAGGGGTGGGTTTTATAGTAATAGTACTATTACATGATATACACATCTACACACAGAACCTCTCTTCAATCGCGACAGCGAAAAGCGAAAGAACGCTCCTCTGTTATACGACAGCGAAGCCAACAAGCGAGGTCAGGAACGAATCGAAGCCAAAGCTTCCAACCATCCCCCGTAGAGAAATCGAAAAAAAAAAAACATACTAAAAGGCAGAACCAGCTGACACAAGTATATACAAAACGAACCCATCCAAACAAATACCCAGTCTCAAGACTAGATAGCAGTGCGCTGATTACGATGCGAGTAATCACCACGCTTAGCAATGGCTCCGTTTTCACATTTTGTGCCGTCAGCCACGGGGATCATGATGATCTTCCCGTGATCGCAGAGACCGAACTTCGTGCCGTCGGACGAACAAACGACAGCGCTGTCGGGGGAGCACGCCTCTTTGTCTGAACCTGGGTTTGCGGGTGCCGGTGAGGCGGGTGCACCGGATGGTGTCGGTCTCAGGGGCGCGACGGGTGATGCTGGAGACTGGCCGGTTGGTTGGGGCGCTGGAGCTGCGGCGGGGGTCGTGCCCGTACCGGCTGCTGGGCCGGGTGGGAAGATGCCGTCGGTGTTTGTTGGCATTTGCGCTGTGACGGTGACGAGTGTGCGGAGGGTGGACTCGGCAGGCTTGGGCTTGGGTGAGCAGGCGGACTTGGTGCCAGATGGAGCAGCTGGTGGAGCGGGAGGGGGGCTTACTGGAGCTGGGCTCGCGGCAGATGGAGGCGTAGCAGCAGGTTGGTAGGCTCCTGAGTCCGGGGAAGGACTAGCAGCTGGAGGACTGGCGACTGGAGGATTGGCGGGTGCGGCACCAGGGTCGGCGTTGCCACTACCACCACCACCAGCATCACCGCCGGTGCTGGGTTGCGAAGTTGCGCCAGTGCAAAGATCCACAAAAGGGCCTTTACCGACAGATTTCACGTACTTCCCTGGGTTCTGAAATGTGAAATCACTGCTCTCTTTTGTCGTGCCGCAAGACTGCGGGACTGGGATGTTTGCGACTGCCATGTCGGGGAGAGCATCAAATGCAGTTGTGTCGTCGGCACCACCAGAAATTGTAACCGGCGCGCAATTCATGTACATCTCGCGGTTTCCGATCTTGTTGAACCACGTCCAAGCTGTTGTCATGACGCCGTTGGGAAGCTCCGGAGGAATATCGAACTGGAAGGTATTGTCGAGACTGGGACCGAATTCGTCCAGGTTGGCTTCTGCAGAGACAGGGCAGCCACCCTCAATGGAGTAGATGACTTTCCACACGGAGTCCTTTGTAGGCTCCTTGTCGGTGGTGACGCTTATTTGGCATGAGCCTCCACCATGGACAGCCGTACCAGTGAATGCAAGAGTCTGGGATGAACCGACCTTCCATTCGTTCATAGTGTTGACCGTGTATGGTACGGCCTTGCAAGGGAAGTCGGAACCGCTAGCGTCGAGAGGTGAATTGTTGGGATTGCCGTATGGCACGGGACTCTTGAGAATCATGTGTGCGTTTGCAGAGAGCGGAGCCATGGCTAGCATGGCTACCACGGCGTAAAGGGTCGACTTGAAAGACATGGTGTTTCCTAGACCAGCTGAGGGATGTACCGTATAAGTCGAAATGTTGGTTCGAATGTCTGAAATCGAGAGATGTCTTGTCAAAGACTTGTCGCAAGTAGTTCTTGGAAGAGTAAAATGAAGGTCTCGTAGAGTTGCGTAGTTGGTATGAATGTTGAGCTCGTATTCGCGATGAGTTGTGTAGGAAGAATAACGAAAGTCTTTAGTAGGCGCGATGGTAAGGACCGTGGCAGCGTTGTAGAGTCATAACACAACAGCCTTAGTAATACGTAATGTACAATAGCTTCACAATGAGACAAAGCTGGGAGATTATATACTTGATGCTGGGAGGTGAAGGTGAGTATTCAACGTCTCCCGGCGAATTAGCGCGCGCCATCGTTGCGCCAGCGCTGTGACCGTGAGTTCTTGATGAAGACTGCACATGCCTGAACAGGTACAAGAACCCGCGCAAGGCCCACCGAAGACATGTACTTCCTACCTTTCTTGTTTCATTAAATGTATTTGATTGGGTATCCAGTCATGATAGACCCTAGATCCGTAGAGATATAGCTGGGATGCACAGCGGCAAGAAATATCCTGGTGGAGACCGTTAAGCGCCACTAGTTACCCAGGCGGAAGGAAGGCATAACGCGTTTCAGATTTTCCAACTCTTGCTATCCATACCTAGATACTCCACTCGCAGGCAGCGTGTAGAGAGCTCGTGTGACTGAAAGACTTCGGGCACGTGGGAATGGTGATCTGATGAATGTGGATGAATTGAGAGTGTTTATGGGTTGCAGCGCGCTGTGCCGCAACAAAACGTTCATAATGCGCAGTGATTGGTACATCGATGGTGTATTCTGGTGCATCAAGGGTATTGTGATGCATCGTGAAGTGAGCACCTGGGCAGGTGAGGTGAAGGGCAGACATTGGAAAGAGCCCCCAGCCCTGAGAACCCTGGGACGCTTGCGGACTAGCGGGCCTTGGCAACGCTAGCTGGACCGCAACCGCGAAAGCATCCGTCACCAGCCAGGGACGCGCAAAAGCAGTCGCAATTCGAACGGACTTGCCTATCGGTCGCAGTGCAGGGGTAATCGCGAATCGACCAGCCTTCTGACGGACACCGTGACCCATTCGCCGCATTCGGAGGCCCCGTCGACATCGCGACGCGTTTAGTGTTCGCGAGCTCTGCTGAGCTTCCTCACATCTCCTACACGAACCATCGACCGTGTCAACAGCCATGTTTACGAGTACGGGAAAGACGGCGCCACCCCAGGCCTTCATGTCGAGTTATGCGCCGCGACTGCGAAGCCACGGAAACTCGCTGATATCGCCCATTGTTCCGCCCTCGAATACCCTCCCTGCGCCGCGCGTGACAAAACGCGGGACTGCCGTTCTCAGCTATGCGGAGGACGCATACGATGATGACGATTTCGAGGACAGCGATCGGCCGCGACGTGCGACAGGTCTGCGAAGCGTACAGAAGATCGACCCGAACAGCGCAGACCACACGGCGCAAATAGCAGCCTTGGGCGAGGAGCTCACTGCGCCAGTCGATATACAGGGAATCTGGCGAGACTGGATGGGCAGGCCGAAGCGCACACTGTATGTGGCATGGTGGCAGGATCAAGCCATGGGACGCATCTCGCAATAGAAGGCTAACATTTTGCAGCACGGAGAAGCAAGTCCAGACGCAATCAGTCTTGCCTGTCACGTTGATTCCTATCCGAATAGACATGGACATTCAGGCTTTCCGGCCTGAGGCGCCGCTGCCAACACCGTCCAACGCGCGAGAGTTCGGCATAAACGAGAATCTGCCCGCGTACAAACAACCCGACGTCACTCCCGCATACAGACTCAAGGACTCGTTCCTTTGGAACCTGCACGAGGCTTTGACGACACCCGATCAATTCGCAAAGCAGTTCGTCGATGAACTAGATCTGCCAAACGACCGAAAGCCCCTCATAATCTCCCAAATCGCAAACCAGATTCGACAGCAGCTGGAGGAATATGCCGGTGTTGCGCTACACCCTCTGTTCCACTCTGCAAACTCGCCCGCTGTTCAAGGAACCAACGGCAAGACCGCACTGCCTGCATCGTCCCGCGATGGCACCTCAACACCACAAGTACCAGCCACGAACGGCGCGTCGACCCCTATGACCAACGGCTTATCGCATACCAACGGCGCACAGACGTCAGCGGGCATTCCAAATGGTATCAGCGCAACTGCGACCGCAATGCCGTCGGAGGAGCTTCACAATCCAGACGATACCTACCGCTGCATCGTCACGCTCAACATTAACCTCATGAACCGATTGTACACTGACAAGTTCGAGTGGTCACTATTACATCCACCAGGTTTCGCGGAGATGTTTGCTAAGACGACGTGCGCGGATCTGGGGCTATCGGGAGAATGGGTGAACGCCATGACACATAGCATCTACGAAGCAGTCCTGCGACTTAAGAAGGAAGCCTGCGAGAATGGCGGTTTGGTGGGCGACGGCGAGATCGACAACGATGCAGTAGAGCCTACTATTGGTGCAGGTTGGAGATACGACCAAGAGCACCTCTGCGACGACTGGGAACCGAAGGTGGAAATCCTATCACCTGAAGAAATTGAGAAGCGCGAGGGGGACCGTGAGAGGCAGATTCGAAGACTACGCAGAGAGACAGCGCGCTTCTCCTCGACCGCAAACATGACGGGCCAACCCGCCAACGAATTCTTCAACAACATCGAAGGACAAGAGAACATGGGCCGCGGCGAGCGCAGCAAAAAGAAGAGACGATTCAGGAGTTTGAGCCCGGTTGGAAGAGGCACGCCAAGCGCCGAAGGAGGATCCGGCTATGGCGGGCAGGGTGGAGGGCTCCAAGAAGGGTATGTGACAATACTGGCATTGTGCATTGTGATATTGGAACTAACAACAACCACAGGGAGCGACAAACATGGAGATGCGCACACTGCTGGGTCTGGGGAACTGCCGTCTGGGCTGTTCGCGACGGTCCAAAAGGCCCACGCACTCTCTGCAACAACTGTGGCTACCTCTACGAACGAGACAAGAAGTTGCCGCCTTGGTCGGAAAACCTCTTCTACCACGAACGTCCACAGCATGAAGTCCAACAGTACCGACCACAGCGGTGATAGACTTGCAGTTGTCTGTGACGGGGTTTACTTCATCGGTGTTAGGGGTTCAGCCTGGATCGCAGTCATCCATCCGAAGGGCATTTCTTTCCCGTTCCTGGACACTGCCGGTGGGTGTTTGGTGTTCTATCGCATTTCATGGAGCGTGGCGTCTTGGGCTCGACATCGTGTTCATCACGACAGCAGGGCTTGTAAAACAACGTAACTTTCTTGTTCCTTACCGGATTTGCAGCATAGTGTGTTGCCTAATTGGCTGGGTTCAACTTCCGTCGTCTAGGCCATTTGGAGGACTTTTGCCATTTTTGAAGGACCATTGCTATGGCTTTGGGCTTGCACGCACCGGCACATGTCTGCCTTGCAGACACGGGTACGGGTACGGCAGCGGACTCTCCAACAAACTGGCACTGGCTCAGCCATCGAAGATGCGGCACAGCCCGGCTTTTCCCATTCCCAGTCCCTCCATATCCCCTGCCCTGTACACACAAGGAATCGTACGATCGACAGAGGACAGATAGTGTATACTTACTAGCTGGCAGTGCATATGCATTCCTATTGTTCCTTCCTCATTTTTCTTGGCGCCTTATTGTGTGTTGCCTTGGCCACGCGTCCTTTTCGTATCGCATTCAGCCTATCATGACTCTTCTTGTCGATGTGGAGACTGGTATTGAGACTGAGCGCAGAAGAGCGCCGGATTTGGGCACGTTGCGTGGCGCTGATGGCGGTGGGAGGGCGCGTGGGTGGCGTGTCAAAGCATCGTGGCTTCGTGTTGAGAGGAATGCAGCGAAGTGGCTTTTTCTCGGAGGAGTTCGCAAGCCATAGTGTTAAGCTTTTGTACGAATACGACTTTGGAGATCAGGTTTGCAAGACGCTGTTTATCAAGATGCAAAAGTTGTCAGTTATATTAGGAAGAAATTTGGCCTCACGTTCGTATCACGAAACCGCAAAGGAACCTGTTCATCTGTGGCACCATCCCAAACCCCATCCTATTGTCCCATCCCATCTTCCTATTGTGCACCCAAAGCGTCCACCACCGTCCACATACTTAGTCATCCCCCATCTGCAATCAACGATCATCATGACTCTTAGACATCCAACGCATGAGCCAACACACATGTCTCATTACACGTACATCAACGCTTCTCGTACCCTAGCTCCACACCTCACGTGCTGAATGTACCTAGGTAGGTATCCATGGCTGGCGTGTTCAATAGAAACACAATAGCAAGCGAAATGGTGCAGGACCGATGCACCACCCAACCAACGCGCAGATGGCTACCTGGGTACTTGATGAAGGAAGAAACGACCAGCATAGATTTTACCCGGTTTCGTACGACGTTGCACAAATGGTGCATGTGAGAACGTGACGATGGCCAGGGCAGTTGCAGAGAAGGAACGTGACAGATGGATTCTTGTGTTACACAGGTAGGTACCTACTGTCCAATCAAGTTGTCTATCGTGGTATGCTGAAGTACCGAATCGTTGATCACGATCCCCATGTCTATTGTCGTTCCAGCTACGGCAAGGCTGTACACGCGCGCTTACCGTATTTGACTATTCATCCATCACGATCCACACACCTTGTACGTTCCCTCGCACACATTCGCTAACCCCAGACCATCAATCCCACCCACCTCGTCACAAAAAATCCTCCCATCCTCTAAATGCGCGGCCTATCATACCGCGCACCCAATCACCCAATGGTTCCCTGCCAGATTTAAACACCACCCCGAAAACAGTCTAGCACCACCGTTTATTAAACACAATAGCAACAATGGATCCATCCCGGAAAGGCTCGGTACGCAAACTTGATTGCCGGTAACGGGTCTAGACTAGACTGCTGCCAGCTATTATGCAGAAGTATGTGGCGCATACCAGGTATGTTTGTGTTTTCGCGCGTCCCTTCCTATTGTGCTAGGTATTGTGTTGGGTGTTTCAGGTGTGGGGGTGCAGGTGTGAATAAGGCGGAAGGCGGGCGGACGCGGGAGGATTGGGGCGTCCACTGCAGCGGGTGGGTGGGTATATATAGGTTGCTTGGTGGCATGCTTCGGGGAATGAGGTTTGTGAATGTGCGTGTATTTGAGGTTTATATGTGAGTTGTTCTTGGAGTATTTAATGATGGATGGGTTTTGCTGACTTTGGATATAGTTATTGTGCGAACGACGAGAGGATACCAATACCGAGTAGCAAACTGCATCGACGGTATTACTGCATCGTCATATCACGATCATATACCGGTTTATTGCATCTTCCTATCAATCTTCGTGGTCGCGCAACATCTACCGGCAAAGCGTTTAACCATCGACAATTGCCAGTACGGCTACCGAACTCGCATGACCGCCGCCTAACCCATCACACCAACATCACGCCACAACCCCACGATCACGATACCCACAGACAGTGTCCTCCAAGACACGAGAAGTGATTCCTTGGCCAAAAGAAACATCCATTGATATATGCCATGGACCCATTCCGCAACAACAACGCAGCAGTATCCATCGCAAAAGCCACCACACTCCACAACATCGCATCATCAACACTATCATCCACACCGTTCAACACACTTCCTGCACACTCCTCATCATACCAATCATACCAAGAAGACAATCAAGCACCCCCCGCCTACCACACCGTCGTAGACCCCAGCCTCCCCATCCCCAACATGACAAACCCGTACGACCCCCAAGATGAAGACTGCGACGCTCAAGAAACGCCAGACGACACACCCGAAATCACAATCAACGCCGCAACCCAGATCCGGGGCCACGGGAACATCATCTCCGTTGCACAGATGGATAGCGTGAGGATAGCGAATCTCATTGCTACTGTACTTAGTGGTGAGGCTATTGAGACGGGGAAGACGGGGGAGGAGGGTGATGCGGCTGGCAGGCCGATTACACCAGAGAGTCCGACGACGCAGGCGACGGCGACGGCGACGGCACGGGGGGAGTGTACGTCTACGACGCAGGTCAGAGGCGTGAAGCGGTACTCTAATATCAACATTACGGTTAACTGCGGCGCGACTATCATCGGGGATAGAAATATCGTGGGACCGGGTCTGGGCGATATCGCGAGGCAGATGCAGATGGCGCAGAGGAATCAGGCGGCGTTGCTGGCTCAGCAACGGATGCAGCAGCAACAACAACAACAACAACAACAACAACAACAAGCTGCGGCGGTGGGGGGACAATCACAGAGGATGTCGTCGCCACCGTTACAACAAAGAAATATCTCGCCGAACGGTGTTCTGTTCCCGTTGAAGCCTGCAACGCCTCCAATGAGTCGCAGTTCTAGTTTGGATAGCGAGGTGGGAGGTGGGGGGAGGAAGAGGAAGTGTGAGGATGGTGGGGAGGGGGCTGCTGCGAAGAGGCGTGGTTGAGGCACGGAGAGCTAGATGCTCTATGGATGCAGGATGGCCATCATGGGATTTCTCTCCTTCTTCTTCTTCTTCTTCTTTGGAGCCGGGGATACGGTTCGGTCGAGCCAAGTCTTCTGAGAATCTGAGATGTGGTTGGCATTCTTGGAGCCTCATGAATAACGAGTTATGAGTATGAAGGCCTCATGGCTTTGTAGGATAATGTTGGATATACATGATGGAGCTATAATAATGTTAACATAGACTTCGAGTAACCTCTGCTTGTCTCTATGAGGCCTTCCTTCTTATTCCCGACTGCAGTTGAGTACTGCAAGGTGATACCAAGCCTTTCACATGTCACTCGTGGATGCAGCCACAAGTGCATCGTTCCTGCTGCGCTAAGCAGGCGAGCCCAAGTACTAGATAAAGTAATGGCGTGGCACAGAGTGTCGATGAGCTGTGTGCGAGGGTGCAATATCAGCGAGATGCCAATGACGCAGCGGCAGATGATGAATAGCGTGTGAGTGGCTTGTGAATGGCTTGGTGTTCAGCCGCCTAAAACGTTAGAGGCCGCCGTCGGGGGTGTCGGGACTCGGAGTTAGCCCTCCGCGCGCGAGGTGCTTGATGCTTCGTGTCCTTTACGAGGTGTTCGTGGGCGCGCGGGAAGCTGTTGAGATGCGATGGCAAGACAGGCGTGTGAGATGCGGCATAGAAGCAGAAGAAGAAGAAGAAGATCAATAGAAGTCACTCGGCATATATCAGAAATATCATCATCTTGCTGTGACGCACTCACCCGCTGCAGCGCCTCCGTCGACCCCTGCTTAGTGGCATCCCGAACGGGGGAGCACTCCTAAGCTCACTACCACATGGAGCGCCTTCACTCTGCCACCTCCAGCAATTCCCCGTCTCCCGCCCTACATTGTTAGCCTCAACGCCGAGTCGATGTGAATGTGTAGCACGTGAATCAACACAACCCCCAAACTGCGCCGCCCGTGTCAAGTGGGCGATTCGGCGGTTGCACTCGACGGTTGAGTAGCTCCCGAAGCGGATCAAGACCTACCTGGCCTCTTCTCGCAACGCCATCGAAACCGTTGAGCAGAGCAGCCGGTGCGACGCGTCAATTTCACACGTTACGACGCCCGGGCTAAGACAAAATCAATTACCTGTAAGCCCCTTTTCCCTCTCCCTATACTCCGTCATCCTACTGCCCTGGCCCTCTGCTCCCTCACCTGCCTGCCACTTCCACCCCAACCCATTGACCCATCGTACCGTGTTGACATTGGACGTCTTGCAGTAGTTACCACCGCACCCTCGAAGCGTTGCATACCACACCTCCTGTATCATGGAGCCGTGGATGAGCTGGGTCGTGTTCCTGGCCATTGGAGGCGCCGCCTACTGGTACTACATGCACCAGGGCAACACGGCGGATACCCGAGGACGCTCGACCACGGGCAAGTCGACGACTAGCTCGCTCAAGGAGGCAGTCAGCTGGGACACCCCAGAGAAGAAGCCCAAGGCACAAAAGGCTGCAAAGCCCAAGGCCCCTCGCAAGTCGGTCAAGACGGCCGTCCAGGATGCCGGCAACAAGGCCGCCGCGACCATCTCGCAAGCCGCCCCCAAGCAGGCTGCCGACGACAGCGCCGTCGAGCCCCCCGCCGCCTACACCAACAAGGCCCCGAGCGGCAAGGACGTCTCCGACATGCTCGGTGAGCGCGCCGCCTCGCCCGCTGTCATGAGCATCAAGCCCTCCGAGAAGCCAGCCAAGTCGGTCAAGGCTCAGACACAAAAGGCCGAGGTCGCGACCGAGTCCAAGAAGCAGCGCCAGAACAGGAAGAAGGTCGAGGAGGCCAAGGCCGCGCGCGAGGAAGAGGAGAAGGCGCGCAAGGCTCTCGAGGAGAAGCAGCGTCGTGTCGCTCGTGAGGCGCGCGGTGAGCCGGCCAAGAACGGTCTCGGACAGAGCAAGCCCCCCGCCTCCAACCCCTGGACCGAGGTGCCTTCTCGCGGTGCCGTCCAGCCTCCCAAGGCCGCTTCGTCTGGTCAGCTTCTCGACACCTTCGAGGCTCCTGTCCAAACCGCTACCAAGACTGCCGCCCCTACCAACGGCGCTGCCAAGACCGCTGCCCCTGTCAGTACCCTACCCTCAGAGGAAGAGCAGATGAGGCTTGCTATGGAGGACTCTGCCTGGACCACCGTTCCTAAGGGCGGAAAGCCCAAGCGCAAGACCGTCAACGAGGAGCTTGCTGAAGAGCTCAGCGAAGTCACCACGAAGCCCCAACAGTCCGCCAAGCCAGTTCGGCCAACCGAAGTCATTAAGGAGAACAAGAACCCCAGCTCGCGCTACCAGATCCTTGCCGAGGAGTTCAACCCCAAGACTGGCGACGATGCCGATGACTGGGCTGTCATGTGAAGTGGGTAAACATGACTCAGCCAGCAGCTGGTCTCGGGACCTCGGGTACATTCACGTACCCTGGACGACGATACACCTTTCGATTTCTATCCTATTGAAGACTGTTGGCGCACGTGAGATCTTCAGGCGTTGATCTGACCACCTCCAACTTTCATCACGATAGCATCATATTTGGCATGACGGACGAGCATAGCTCATACGACGGTGGAATTGTCCTTGTAAGCATGGGTATGGCTGGATCATCGGATGGGTTCCTTCCACTGCTTTGCTATCCAGGCCATGAAAGCATCGGCGTATGGGGTTGCATCTGATCTTATTGCAAAGGCTTCTTGCATTCGCGTCCTGTACTTCAATACCACATTTAAACATCAATCAGTACCCGACGCTGGAATAATGACTGTTGAGGCGCGCAGGTAGAAAAAGTAGTTGTTGAATTGCAGCTCCTCATACAAAACCTCCCACACATGTGTCTGCAGTACAGCCGTGCGTTGGTGAAAGCTATAAATACAACCGTGCTCCACCGTGTTGAAAGTGCCCGTGCCAAGTCGTGAATCAGCTAGTCAAGATTGGTCCGGAGGTATTTCGTACCGACTGCTACTCCTGACGCCATAGTCAGAGTCGAGTAGCAGAAATCTGGCCTCTTAGTAGTACTCTAGTAGGTTGCGCGAACCGAGGAACCAGCGCCGCAGCAACCCTGGGAACAGCCCACACGACGCAATTCAATATATTCACCATCACGCGCAACTGCCAGCTAGCAATCCCACCCTGCAATTTACTAGCCTGCAACAGAAGAAAGTAGTGAGACTCAACACATCAAAGTAAGGCGCAAAGGGTTAGGCCGCTGACATAATCTGACGTTCCGAAGGTCAATCGCGTGAAGGACACCTGTTCGGAGCAGCGCAACCCAATCACCTCTACACCTGCCGCCGCCCACCCTCTCTTCTTCTCTACTACACCACCAGCCATGGCGCAGATACGCGGCACCGCTGGCTACCATTTGGGCAACCAGAGCCCCTTTGGCAACTCGGGGCGCAACGACAACAGCACGAACGACCCCAGTCCGCTCGACCAACTGCGCGCCCAGACGAGCAAGCTCGAGGACCTGCTGGACACTGTCTTCGACCCCATCAAGCCGTGAGTCTTCAGAAACGGTGCCACGACGCTGCCCGCTTGGAAACCGGCTAATTCCCCCCGTAGATACCTCCCTGGCATCGGCCGCTTCCTCATCGTCGTTACCTTCCTCGAAGATGCCCTGCGCATTATCACACAATGGACCGACCAGCTTACGTACCTGCACGACTACCGCCACAGTACGTGTCCACTACCCCTCCCGCAGCAGCGCGTGAACATTGGCTAACACGGTCTCTCTCTGTCTGCAGTCTGGAACGGCGTCACGCACATGTTCCTCATCGTCAACATCGTCCTCATGACAGTCTGCTCCTTCGGCGTCATTTTCCGAAAGTACTCCGAATACAGCGTAGCGGGACTCATGACCGTCGTGGTGCTCCAGGGCATCGGCTACGGCCTCGTCTTCGACCTCAACTTCTTCCTGCGCAACCTGTCCGTCATGGGTGGTCTGCTCATGGTGCTCTCCGACTCGTGGGTGCGCAAGAAGTTTGCGCCCGCCGGCCTGCCCCAGCTCGACGAAAAGGACAAGAAGATGTACTTCCAGCTCGCCGGACGCGTCCTGCTCATCTTCCTCTTTGTGGGATTCGTGTTCCGCGGCGACTGGGGCTTCTGGAGAATCATTGCTAGTCTGTTGGGACTCGTGGCGTGTGTCATGGTGGTTGTGGGCTTCAAGGCAAAGTTCTCGGCTGTTATGCTCGTGCTTATTCTCAGCGTCTTCAACCTTTACGTTAACAACTGGTGGAAATTGCACCCGCACCACCCCCACAAGGACTTTGCCAAGTACGACTTCTTCCAAATCCTGTCCATTGTGTAAGTACCCTTGTCTTAGTCCCGAACCGCGCATTGCTAATCGTCATTCAGTGGCGGTCTCCTCTTGCTGGTCAACATGGGCCCCGGCCAATTTTCCGTCGACGAGAAGAAGAAGGTCTACTAGACTCGGACATGTTCACGCATCACGACACGTGTTTCGACTTTTTTGAACGGAACGGTCGCCTTATATTCGATATATAAACGCATATATGATATTCAATTGGGAAAAAACGAACGTGGTGGGGAAAAGCGAGAGATGATGGCGGTCTGGCAATCCCATTTTCAAGACGAAAC